AAAAAAAAAAAGACAAAAAACAAACAAAAAACAAACGAACAAAAACAATAACAAAGAAAAACAACAGCAACAAGAAGTCAAAACGGAAACAACTAAAGATTGAAAACCACCGATGAAGCCGTACATTTCATCGGCTGTTAATAAACCCTTTAGCTGTCTAATTCTTTTTCCTTTTTTTGCCCTCTTTGCTCCGTTATTCTCAATTCAAGTTCATGCTATTATATAGAACCCATACCCCCATCAACCCCCCCCCCCCCACAAACCTCCTGGCCGCCAACACTGACATACAATTGTCTTTTATACAAATGTATTTTTGTGACAGCTTTTGCCTCTCGCATTCATCTTCTGTGCTCACACCCAAGCCCACGTGCGGTGGTCGCGAGGAAAAAAAATAACAACACTTAGAATGGATTATTTTAAGAAAAGAAAAGAATTACGCTGAGAGGGACCGACAAAAGCAGTTATAATATTGACTTGAAACCTGTGCATAACGTCGTAAAAAGTGTTTTCAAGGATAAATCTGCTGTCTCGGTGAACGGAAAGCGCTCATTTTTAAAGTTTATATTTGTTGCCTTATAAGAGTGCAAGAGAAAGTTAATTAAAACCCGCTTATTATTGCTTAAGGATACACGAACTCTTTTCAGTGATCTTAGTTGTACTCTTAATCTACGTATAGTTATCACACCGTCCATTAAAAAATATAATATATAAATTAATCGTTATTGTCGTAGCCGAACATCCGCAGAATTAAGAACGTTCTTGCATTTGATACTACGTTAGGTTTAGTTAAAAGCAACATAATTATATTAACAATGATGTGAGCATAAGGTAACAGTTTGGTCAGCACATGTGATGTAATGAAAGAAATCTTTGTCCTGCCCACAAGAAAATAAACCAAACCAATTTAATTACTTTGTAAGGTTCATACTGACCCCAAAACATTTTTTTTTTTTCTCAAGTTCTTAAAGGGATTTTTTAAAAAGAGTTCTCTTTCTCACATTTCACACGTAGCTGGTGTGAAATCATTTGTTTATTTGTCTGAAAGAAAAATAAAATATTTTCTTCAAAAAGAATATTATATTGGACGGTCATGAAACTTTGTAAATGTTTAAATTGTGTCCCTTTTTCTTTGAAAATTAATTTAGAATAAGTAGAAGGAGGTCAGCTTCCAGCCTGACAGTCAGGGCCAACCGAGATAGAGTGTGATACAGTATCCCAGTAAAAGAACGGACAAATTCAATAAAATAGACTTCCTCATAAGCAAATCAAATGCATGTCTTTTGAGTGTCAGAGTGAAGAACCGAACGATATAACCACAGACGCTGGTACCTTACATTGGCATTGTTAAAGCCTTTGCACTGCCTACTCATGCAGCATACCAATTAAAATTTGAAGCTAAATAAATTCTACGTCATCAGACAGATTAATATTTCATCTCTGTAAAGAGACACTCAAGATATGGTCACTCAGAATTGACCTAAAAAAATATGGCTTGGCAAAATTGTGCGAAATAAACAAATATATAAAGGTGTGTTTGCGCCTATAACCCCCC